CAATCGCCTTTTTTGGCCTGCTGTTTTTTGATCAATATAGGGTCTTTTGAGTGCTTTAGGAGAGCTCGGAAAATAAATTTGGCCGACCTAAAAAAAAGATCGTCAAAATTGTCAAAATTTTCTAAAGTTTTTTGAAAATATCCGCCCCCCCTCTCGAGAAAATCCTAGATCCGCCCCTGATAGTTATTATGGTTAATTTTTTGTTGCTTTTGAGAGAAAAATAATGATTTGAATAAGAGCCAAACGTTGTCAGTCCGCTTTTTTGTTCTAAGTAAAGTAATGATACAAGTTCAGTATGAAAACGAGAGATGAATTTTGGTTATCTTGCAGTTTAGAATTTTTTTGGTTCAAGTCGCAGTCTGTCAGTTCGTTCGTGAGTCTCTGTGAGTCAATGGCAAAACTACTTGGTTGATTCTTAATTAAATTAGTGAAATTTCTGGCTCAGAGCACAGCGCGGGAACACACTCAGTCAGAAGTCATCATTATTTTCCAAATTGTTGCCAATACTTTGGCTCTCTCCCATTGTAGCTTCCTCAGCCGATTGGAAAGTTTTTTACTCCCCACCTACCCCCCACCTCATATAAGCATAAATTTTATGGCGCAGCAAGGGTTCCTATACGGTTGCATATGAAGACAAATATGGGCTCTTTTTCCTTGCCCCCCCCCCACCTGGATTTTTTTTATGATTAAAACTACTGTTCACATTGTCCGATTGTCATGAAAATTGACATGCTGATAAATTAAGCCATGACAAACATAATTGGTCTTCATAATCAACCTTGTGAAACTACTCGTTAGATCATAAAGTTGATGCTTGTGTGAGGTAGGGGAGGGGAAGGAAAAAGAGCCCAAATATGTTTGTCGTGGCAAAATTAGCCCCCATGTGCAATCTTTCATTCACTCTTTTTTGTCCAGTTTTGTATTTTTTAAAACTATTTTCTGACTATTATACCCCCTTATCCGCCGCCACCAGAGAAGACCACATTTATCTAACGGTTTTAATTACTATTCTCCACCACATTAACCCTCGCACACATCCAGTAGGGTAATCTTGTGTGTGAAAATGAGTAACTTAGTTCTTGCTGGTTAAAATCAATTTTTAAGGCCCTCATGAGACTCGTGTCTGAGACGAATCGGTTGGAAGTCAGCCAACCGATGGCGCCGAGAAGCTCTTTACTGCTGTGTTTTAACTGGGTCTAGGGCAAACATCCGCTTTTTTAAACATCCGAACTTATGTAATAATTATGTAATTATACGACGCTAGAATGTCAAAAACAAGAAATAGCTGAATTATTTTATTCCCATTTCGCCGACTCTGAGTTTAAAGTGGCCAATAGGAGCACTACGCGTGCATCGAGGCTTCGAGACACAAACAGGTTCTAATTTATTCAACGAGAGCCTTACCCTTTGTTAGCAAGCTCGCAGTACGTTGGCGCGAATGTGCGAATCCGCGTTCACTCGACCACTACCGAATCTTTTAAGCGACCCATAGATATCGGATCTTTGCCCTACTCTTTGAAAACTGTCGAATGTTTGGCATATCGGATGTTTACACGATGCCTCTTTTAACCTTATAATTTACCGCAAAAGTTTGCTTCTGAGCATCGTCTCGTCGCTCGATTAAATTTCGACCAGGTTGTCTTATATGTATGGTTCCCTGAAAAGTCATTTTTTTTCAAAAGAGATAAAAAGTACAATATATTGTTCAGGTGCTGATCTAGGATTTTCTCGAGGGGGGGGGGGGGGGTTGGATTTTCAAAAAAAATTTTGACGACCTTTTTTTTTTAGTTTGACCAAATTGATTTTTCGAGCTCTCCCTTAGCACTGTTTTGCCCCTATTGTGGCAAATTTTCTGCGCCGCAGGTAAATTTTTGAAAAAACAGTCAAAAAGCCGTTTTTGCGCACTTTTTGAAAAATTTTGACAAAAAAGTCGCGTTTTTCTTGGCGCGCGCTCCCCCTCAAAGTTAGTATATATTGGCGCCAAAGGCGCCTTTAGAAAAATTTTAGGGTCGGTCGGCCAAAAATGGATTTCTGAAAAAGTATCAAAGGGGGGACCCTTTGGGTCGGCAGGGGGTCGAATCCCTGAAGAGGGGAAGTCCGCCCCCCCCCCCCTAAATCCGCCCCTGATATTGTTAGTGTTATCCAAAATTAGATTTTTTCCACGTGAGCAGGAGTTGGAGGGCAAACGCAGGGGCTCAAAATGTTCAAATTTTGTGTAGCTTTAGATTTCAAGCGGGCTGTAACATCAGAAGGTTTTGCAACAACTTGCAAAATGTCTGCAATACGTGAGGGCTTCTCTTGTTCGTTTTAGGTCTTCTCTTGATCTGAAACAACTGAAGAAAAAGAAAGGAAAGCCAAAAATTTTAGTAAAACTTGTACAGGTGCTTGATTGAGGTTTCAACCATACTATAACCATATATATTTTGTTTCAATTTTTTTTTCATAATCTGAGGGAAAACGGAGAAAACTTTAGTCTTTTGAAGTGTAGTTTGCTTTTGATTTATTTTCAGTCGAAATGAAGTTGACCGATTAACAAAAATGACTGATGATTAAGAAAACCTTTCGGAATTTTTTTGAATTGTTTGTACACTTTGAACCAATTTTAATGGTTTCCTTCATCAACGTTCTAAGCAGATTTAATTAGTTTTGTTTACAACATCTAACAAAACATTGTTGAAAACATCTATCAAAAAGACCGCATATTTAATTATGCATATGAATGATGCAGCATCATTGAAAATATACATTAAATGTCTCTTTGTGAAAGAAGATTTAAAAAAAGAAATATGAAGGAAGAGTGTTTTAAGTTAATATTACTGTGATTCAATCGAAAATATCCGGGCAAAATTTTTAACATTTGCCATGCTTTTGCTCTTTTCATTTTTTTCCCACTCAAATCTCCCCCATAATTGTCTCATAAATTGTTGAACTTTGAAAAAAAATTATGGCTAAATGGCTCTGACAGGTATCGAAACCTTTTTTTTGGCAACCAAAAAGAGAGACTGAATGAATTTTCAATAAAAGTATTGTGAACAAAATTTTTCATTGTCGAAACCTATAAATTTTTTAAAAGATTCTGATAGCCTTAAAAACTATTGAACTAGTTAATCAAAAAATTAGGTCGATATAACAACGTCCTCTTTCGTTCTCATTCTTGTAACCATTAATTTTATTGCATGCTATATCTTGATATTGTCGTATTTTACAATGCTATTGTCACACAAAGTCTATTAGTGTTAATTAGTACAAGCAATCAATTATGGCTTTCCACACCCCCCCCCCTCCCCCCACGTTTCAAATTTTCCATTTTCATAGTTGTCTTTCTTTTTATAACGATGTAAGTTATAAAGACCAAATCGGTACACAATTGTTGGTTTGTTCACCATGCAAAATTTTATTGCAGTATGGCAACGTTAACATTGTTTTTAAAACTTGAATTTCAAATGTGTGAGGGGGGGGGCTAGAAAAGAGCCTTAAATATGAGTACCTTTTTAAAATGAGCCGGTAACTAGATGCCAGGAAATTAGAGTTAGCCAGCCTTGCTTTTCAAATTTGGATAACTTTAATTCAGGTTCCATTGTTTTGTAACAATGCAAATGAATAGGATCTCATTAGGTTAAAGAACGAACCCATTAAAATGCTCATTTTCCTCTTAACTATCCCCGCAGATTTGTCGTAAAAGGATTTCTTAATCCCATTATTTCGTGAACAACCCTAGCCCAAAAATCACATCTGGAACCAAATTTGCAAATTTTACCCAGAGTGGTATAGACAAACAATTACCAAGGAAGCCATGTTATCTGATTGCGAGCGAATACCTGGTGAAACCGATAAACAATAACATGTAATTGAGGCGCAAAATCCCCTCTTTGTTTTGAAGAAACACCACCCTATTAGTAATTTGGTCCAAATACCAGGTCTGCATACCAATTTGGAACCCCTGCAATTTGTGTGGTACAGGATCAGGTTGTTATTTCACATTTTCACTCTGTTGTTTCAACTTAAAAGATTTCTCCTCGCCGCGAAACTTTTAAAAACAAAGTCCTTTTTGTCGTTTTGTTCTTACCTCGGTTGCCTTATTGTGGGACGACCTAATAATCTTAATTAAATGAGCACTTGATCTTCGAAAATTGTTCTTTTTTTTCCTGAAGATCTCGATTTGCTCTCATTTTCCTTATTCATTATCAGAATGAAAATAAAAAATCGTAAAACTTATTTGGATTAACACAAAATTTGAAATTTCACTTATTTGGATTAATTGTGTGAATCTGATAATAACTGTGTCAAACTTGTTTCGAAACTCGTAAGTTTTGTAGCACCTGTGCTTTAAATTTACAGCTTTAACAAATTGCTGATTAGGTCAAAAGAACTAAAAACAATCTACGGTCATAACTGTCCCTTTCAGATTATCAATCAGTTGTTATAAGTGTAAACTTCTGATTAAAATCTCAAACATAAATTTACTTTTTAATCAATTTTCTACAAAACTTGTAAATTCATCGATTACTGTTCGAACCAAATTGCAACTGTTTAATTTTTTGTTTAATTAGTTTTCGAACCTTTTAAACTACAAGTAAGGCCAACAAAGCTTGACGTCGATTTGTTATCAAAGCTTTCATCAATTATTGTTCGATTTCCGCAGGTACGAAATCAATCAAGCGCTCACTTTTCAAAAGAATTTTTGAAGTATTGGTTTTCAGTAGTAAGCCAACTTACACATTTACTTAACAAATGTAAAGCAACCATTCAAATAGCTGGACACTTTACTTATTTTCTGACTAAAGTATCGTCATTACGACCAGTCGAATTTTTGTTATTCCGTCGGCTCTGAATAAAGTTTTAAGCTCTTTGCCAAAATCTGACTAATTCTCAAACCATCGCCCATCAATCAACGAGGCTTGAGTACTTCTGCTATTTAAAAAATTTGCTTGTACCTGTCAATTATTTCTAGCACAGCTCTTCATGTAGAGAATCTCTTTTTACAACAACGTTAATAATTACAAAAATTCACATCAAAACATCACTGAACCACCACTTAACGTCGGGAGCTCTCAATACAAAATTGAAAAAAGCTCTCGAAAGTTCAAATTTCCGGCTTTTGAAAATACTTCAAGTTTAATTTCAAATGGTTTGAGCGATTTGAGTTTATTATGAGAAGCAACTTCTCGAAATTTACGATCTTTTCGATCAGTTTTCTCGCTGTTTCGATACTCGAATCGGTGTTACAAGTGGAGTCATGCAACGAAAGCTTCTCGCTAGCCGAGAGACGAGACCGAGCTGATGTCATCATCAACGGAATCGCGACTTCAATTTCTGGTGATTCGGCTCGGGTTCAGATTATCCAAATCCTTCAAGATCCGTTTTCCTTTTTGACAACTTCCGACACCCAAATCCAAATCTTCGGACTTACTGAACCAGAAATTTGCGACAACTCACTGACTGTAAATTTGGTCCAGATTATTCCGCTTTCACTAAAAGAAGACAACACATTTTACCTCAACTCGAGTGTTGTCGAAGTATCTATTGATTCTCTCAAGATAATAAGAGAAAGTTCGGCTGTTAAAGAAAATCCATGCAAAACGAAATCTTGCGACTCGGGAAAAATCTGTCGAGTTTCGAGTTCCAAAAAAGCAGAATGTATTTGCGAACCATGTGCCGAGAACGAGTCTGAATACGAGCCTGTGTGTGCGACAAATAATGTCGTGTACTCGAATAAATGTCAGGTAAGAAAAGCTGCTTGCGAGCTTCAAACTGAGATTTCAGTTCTGAAAGAGGGTTTTTGCGACGATCCTTGCACTCTTGTAAAATGTGGATTTGGCGCCAGATGTGTTCCATCCGTCGACAGAAAAACCGCTAATTGTGAGTGCTCGGATATTTGTCCGAGTGTTTATGAACCTGTTTGTACGAGTGACGGTGGCGAGTTTTCAAACAACTGCGAGCTGCAGAGTCATATTTGTCGCAACCAAGTGTCGGTCTCGGTTCTCCATAATTCCGAGTGCAATCCTTGTAAGTCGGTGAGCTGCCCTGAAAACACGAAGTGCAAAGTAGGTCCTAAGGACCGTACTGCAGTTTGCTCGTGTGGCGAAAACTGTCTAGCCGAAGTGAAAACTGTTTGTGGTTCGGACGGACACGACTATCCGAACGAATGCGAATTGCAGCGGCATGCTTGCTTGTTGAACCGAAAAATTGAAATAGTCGCGCACCATTCGTGCCGAGAGCTTGCAAAAAATCCTTGCTCTTCTACGACTTGCAATCATTATGCCGAATGCATGTTGTCGGTCGAAAACCCCTCGGCAGCGGCCGAGTGCACCTGTCCGTTCGTTTGTGACCCGATTTATGAACCTGTTTGCGGCAGAAATGAAAAAGACGGATCACTGCAACAGTTCGATTCCGAATGCATGTTGAAACTCACTTCGTGTACGCAGCAACGAAGCATTTCTCTCGTATCGCGATCTGTATGTAGTAAAATACCGAAGGAAATCGAGACGATTTCGTCTTGCGTCGACATTGACTGTGAAATTGGAACCGAATGCGAAATTGGCCAATCAAATGAAGCAAAATGCGTATGCGCTGAGTCGTGTTCCGATTTCGGTTATAATCCGGTATGCGGGTCAGATGAACGTACGTACGCGAACGAATGTGAGTTCAAACGGAGCATTTGTCTGAACAAACTACAAAACCTCTTATACAAAATCCGAGATGGCGAGTGTCCGAACGCATGCAATGGCGTGACTTGCGACAATTATGCCGAATGCCGAACTAACCTTGTCTCTGGAAAACCCGAGTGCGTTTGCCCGAATCGTCGCTGCTCGGTCGAAAGTGCCGAACGAGTTTGCGGGAGCGACGGCAAGTCGTACCGGAATCTGTGTGAAATGAGAGACGTCTCTTGTAGAATAAATCAAACAATTACCCCAGCTTTTTATGGCCGTTGTGACCAGAAAGATTTGTGTTCAAACATTCTTTGTCCTAAGTATTCAATTTGTCAAAAAGGAACTTGCGTTTGTGAAAATTGCGAAAACGTTGAAAAAGAACTTATTTGCGGAAGCGACCGTCGAAACTACAAAAACGAATGCGAAATGAGAAAACAGTCGTGTGAGCAAATGAAAAACATTATCAGAAGACACTATGGAACTTGTATGAGTAATGATGGCACTGCGTTTGAGATGAATGTAAGCACGAGTCAAAAACAGCAATGGAAATGTTCCGAAAAGTGTCTCCATGGCTCTTGTCATTTCGTGGATAAAGTTTGGCAATGTGTGTGTCCCAAATGCGGAGACGAGCCGGAAATAAACACAATTTGCGGTGAAGACAACAAAACCTACAGGAGCAAATGTCACTTGAAACAGTCGATGTGTATGCAGCAACGTGAAATCGAAATTATGCACCACGGATCCTGTGATTCCGTCCGGGACTGTCCGATTAATTCGGAAATCATCCGACTCCCAAGAGGGGGTGGATTTCTGGAGTGCGACAGCGACAGCGCCTGTCCCGTCTCCTCGTTCTGTTCTATGGCGAAATGTTGCTTTCATCAAAATACTGCTATCAATTGTAGCACGACAATGTGGGGGTGTTGTGCCGACCGAGTTACCTTCGCTCTGGACGACTACCAGCAAGGGTGTCCGGAAAAATGTAACTGTAACGAACTGGGCTCGTACGGAGGCAGATGTGACTTGTTCAATCAATGTGTGTGCCGCAAAGGAGTGACAGGCAAGAGATGTGATCGTTGTTCTCATGGGTTCTGGAACTTCATTCGAATGCAAGACCACCCGTTCCTCGGTTGCCAGGAGTGCAACTGCAATGTCAACGGATCCCAAAGAGCTGACTGCGACCAGACAACTGGTGACTGCTCTTGCAAACCCGGCGTCTTCGGTAAAAAATGCGACCTTTGTCCTGCCGGACTAAAACTCTCACCTTCGGGTTGCGTTTCGCAGTCCAACCTCGACGTACTGCAATTTTTCAAGTCGTGTGACGGCGTCGTGTGTGATCATGGGGCGACTTGTGTCAAGCGAGGCGAGTTCGCGACTTGCGAGTGTCCGACCGACTGTCCAAAAGAATCCGAATGGGGTCCAGTTGTATGTGGATCCGACGGGCAAACTTATTCACACGAGTGTGAAATGGCAATAAAAGGCTGCGCGAAAGGAAAGACTCTAACTGTGAGCTCGTACGGCTCGTGCACAGTTGACACTATAATATTCGAGCATCCCGAGACGTCGCGGATAGTCGAAGTGCCCCTCAATGACGAGACTGGAAGTCAAAGTTTTGACAAATGTCAGAGTTTAAGCTGCAAGCACGGAGGACAATGCATCGATACACCTGGAAAAGGGCATGAGTGTCTTTGCTCTGTTGGGACGGGGGGCAAAAGGTGTGAACAACAAAGACCAGTTGAAATACCTCAATTCTCATCACGTTCTTACTTGAGATTCCCTACTTTACAAATTGACACAAAGAACACATCACTTTCTGTTAATATAAAGCCGTCAAGTGAACATGGGTTGATCATGTATATTGGTCTGATGGATGCTTTCAAAAAAGACGCACAAGAAAACTACCTGGCAGTTTATCTCGAAGAAGGAGTTTTGAAGGCGAAAATAACTCTAAACGGAGTTGTGAAAGCGACTGAAGTAAGCATGCCTGTTTTAGCAGACCAGTGGCATTCGGTCGAAATAAAACTTCGTGCCAATGTCATGACCTTAAAAATTACACCCAATGAAATCGGAGACTTCTTGAAAAACTTCGAAACGAGCAGCAAAATTGCAGTTCCGAACGGGAAATTCAGCTCAGATTTATACATAGGAGGTTTGCCTCTTGAAAAAAGTCGATCTATTCTAAAAATGGTTGGAGTTTCAGATGGTTTTTCGGGCTGCATGACTGGTTTGAGTGTCAACGGTATTGCAATTCTTATGAGTTACCCAGAAAGCAGAAGTCTGATTGATGGATTTGGAATCGACTCCTGCACTTTCAACCCGTGCGACAGAAGGCCTTGCCAAAATGAAGGAACTTGCATAGTTGAAGACTCGTTTAAATATTGGTGCGTTTGCAAGTTTGGATTTGACGGGAACAAATGTGAAATCGAAGATGATCCGTGCAAAGTTAACCCCTGTCAGAACGGAGGCACGTGTCAGAAAATTCAACCAGGATTCAAATGTTTTTGTCCGCTGGGAACCAAAGGCGAAACATGCGAAAAAATCGTAAAGTCGAAACAAAACGAAATTTTCATGCCGTCTCTAAACATGGATTCATACCTGCGAACTTCTAAAGTTCAAATGTCTGACTATTTGGACATTGAAATTTGGTTCTTCACCAGGAAGTTGAAAGGATTGCTTCTTTACGTCGAGGAAAATTCCGATTACGTCATAGTTGAAATTGATAATCATTATCTCACTTTTCGCTGTAGAATCGGACTTGATTCGGTAACTATTGTAGCTAAGGAAAGACTTCACAGTCATAGCTGGTATAAAGTGTCAATTACTGGAAAAAGCGACACTTTTAGAATGAAACTTGGAAAAACAGAACAAAGAGTGTCTCTTTTGTCGAAAATGGAAAAATTTGAGTTTGCCCAGCCTATATTCGTGGGTGGTTTGCCCGTATTCAAAACAAATGACTTCGTTTCTTCGAAAAGCGGATTTCGAGGAATTATCCAGTTCCTGGAAATCAACGGCCAGAAACTAATCGGCAATTTTACCTCTCAAGAGCTGTCAGATAATTTTGACCAGTATTTCAACGTCATTGGTTGGCGAAATCATCAGTGCTACGAATCTACAAAATGCGAAATTTTCGAAACTTGTCTTCCCGATTTGGAGTCGCACCTTTGCAAATGTTCGGATAAAAAATGTGGCAAAAAAGAAATTGACGTCGAAAATACGAACAAAGCCGATCAAATGGACCAAACTGATTTTTCGACAGTTTCTTTTGACGGAAGTCAAAGTTACGTAATTTATAACCAAGTGGTCGAAAGGATTACGTCACAGAGTGGTGAAAGCTACCGTTTCTCTTTCAAAACACAAAGCGCGAACGGTGTGATTTTTTGGGCTAATGAGAACAGTCTCATTGACTATTTTGTGGTCGGTATTTGGAACGGATACCTCTATGCAGCAATAGATCTTGAAGCTGGTAAGACTGAGGTATTTTCAATCAGTCTGTTCAACGATGATAGATGGCATTTTGCGTCTATCGACCGAAATGATAACGAACTGAGACTGAAAGTCGGTAGCGATCCTTTGATCATTGCCCGGCTTAACTCGGGCGCTACTCGGTTCGACACGAATGGGCTGCTATGGATCGGCGGGTTACCCGACTCGGATTCGGCGAGTACTTTGACTCCCGGTTCAAGCAATGGGGGATTCCAGGGATGTTTGAGTTCCATGGTGGTCAATGGCTTCAAAGTTGACCTTTACATGCACTCGCTGACTAATAACAAAATCGACCCTTGCACATGAGCTGACCTCTAAAAAATACTGAAAAGCTGAAGAAACATCTCACAAAAAAAACATTTCACAAGCTGTTCTCAACCATTTTCGCCTCAACTCACAAGAGAAATTATCATTCGTTGATCATGATTAACAAAAATGTTTTTACTTTAATGCGAGCTGATATTTGTATCATTAATGCTGATTTGATTTTTTAGCTGAACTAATAATAGTAGTTTAAGAAAAAAGTAGCCTACGCTCAGAAAAGTTTAGCTAAAATGCATTTGTATTAGCTGATTCACTTGTGAGCAATCAATTAATTTAATGTGATACCTTTTTATTGTAATTTTTAATGAATAGTATACGCTAGTTTGAGGGAGACAAAAAGTTTTTTGTTTTATTGTAGAACCACACAAAGGTTTAATGAGATATACCTTCTGATTGTAACTTAATGCAATATTTAGTAAACATTATACACTAATATGAGGTAGACAAAAAATTCTTTTTTGTCTTCCTCATAAAAAAAAATCCCTCGGGGAGAAAAAAAATCTCTACAAATGTTTCAACCTTAATAAGGTTTCAGGTTTCATAACAATCCTAAACTCAACCGCCAATTTTTTAGTTGAATTATGAAATAAGGCCTTCAAGCTTTCAGACTATTGGAACGAAAGTTTTAAATCATACGATGAGAAGTTGAACTCATATTTTTAGTTTTCAACTAGTTTAATTGCAGTATTCTGAAACAGTAAAATTAAGGCGAAAGAATATAGAAAAAAGATAATTATTGTTTGTTTTTTATTTTTTTTAAAACTTTTGGAGTTCTTTTTTTTTTCAAATACCGACATCGAAGAATTCTGTACAACTAGCAGAGCAGCCGGTTATCCTTGTGTTAGAATCAATTTAATTTTAATGTTAGCATAATTTTAATTTTAATGTTAAAATATGTTAGCAGCCAAGTTTTTCGGACATTGACTTATGTAACTTCAAACCATGTTTTTTGGCATTCAAATTAATATATTTTTTTCAAATTTATTAAGGACTAATCCTGACTAAAAAGGCTTCAAAATGAGTTATAAATTGACATATCAAACAATTGCTTTAATAAAAGATTTTGGGCTTACAAAATCACTCCAATATCTGTTTTTGACGCTTTCAACCTTTAAAATTTTCTGGCCCAATTGGTTAAAAATGGTCTACTTGGTCACAATGATGTGATTCAAATTTCAATTGCGGTACCCGAAAAAAATGAAGAAATACAAAACAGGTTCCTAGAACAAACCTTAAGTTTTGATAGCTTCTCGTAGTATTAAAACCACAAAGATTAGTTTACAAATCTTTCTTCTTGGAATTGTTTTTAAAGGAGCTTTTTTTGGCAGGTCGTTTTATTCGTTCAATTGTTTAGCAAAAAATCTGACCAGATAATCGCAATCTCCTAAAACTGAACAATAGTTTTTTTTGTCTCAGACTATCCGACCCATTACTTTTGATTGTTTTAATTTTCTCAACTTGCTCTTAAGGTATATACTAGTTCCTTTTCCTGAAGGATAAAAAGCTTAAAACTCTAATCTTGGATTATCCTTAGGTTAGAATTGGGCTTAGGAAATCGATTTCTGATTTCAAATGAAATGCTCCTCAATTTTTCAAAACTATATAAGTCATTAGAGTTATAAGGTAAAAACTACAATTTTTTAAATACGAGAATCGACAGTTCCGAGTAATGAATAAATAATGCTTTTTTATAAATTGACTTGGCAGCTCCGATCACTTGTGTCTTTACTCAGAGACTAGGAATTCAATTTCTGATAGCTCTTAGCCATAATTTTATTTCTTTGAAAACAGAAGGGATAATTTATACGCAAGTTTAAAATAGCTATTTCATGCGCACTGCAATTAAGGCAACGCCACTCCAGCTGACCAATGATGTCTCCCGTTTTTCTTAAGTAATTTTTTTAAACTTAATTTAGAGACACTCTATGTTCGAGTCCAGATGTTAGGAGGCCTGTCAAACCTAATTGAATTTGCCTTCCATTAGCAAAACTATCATACAATTGAGTTAGGACCGAGTTGGTTAACTCATAGAGTAATTTCGGATAGGGTACACCGTCTGCTCGTCACGCTATCTTATTTTCGGCCGGATAGATTCGTGCAACTTCTTAGTCTAATACCGATCCTAATCTTACTCTTATACTATCTAGTCTCAGGTTGTTTAACTAGTCTCTGCTAGGCTCAATAGATCTAGGGTATACTGGTTTATTGCGGCTGCTGAAGTGCTCGGGAGAGTCCAACTAATTTCTAAGTTAAATTCAAATCTCTCTGGTGCTGAAATTACAAGTAACTTCAGCACTTACAAATAAGTGGGTTGTTAGTTAGATGGATCATGATTGGTTAATATTAAATACTTTACATTGGTAAAACATTTAATTTATCCAATCATAATATGTAGTTTAGATCAGGTTCCACCCATCCGGGTTTTACAGAGTTTTTTAGAATAGTTCTTCTGCAATTCGAAGGATGGATGATGGACGTTTGTTTTTGGCGAACATCATAATTTTCTTCCGTTTCCTCTTTTGTTAGGGAAGTTCCAGGAAGCTGGAGTTTGAGACATAAGACGTTGTGTTCTTCTTGTGACAACGACTAAGTCTTCGCAACAAACTCAAATCTGATTTCAGAATGGTTGGCTATGTCAGGTTTTTCTGTTCTTCGTGGAGAACTTCTTTTGTGTCTGATCTAGCTTGGGAATGGCGTGGAGATTGTGCGTGGAGGGGATGCCTGGTTACTCGGATCTGTACGTATACTTGAACATCGAGGTGGTCATTGGTCTAGTTCAATGAAGTCCTTTTCTGCGAGGTCAAGTCGTACTCTAAATCCTTTGAGTTGTGATTGTGAGCGGCATATCGATTGTAGTTGGTCATTCTCTCTCGAGTGTAGTGGGGTCGTCTTGTCTTTTGATGTTCGTCCTTGGTGTTGTATTCTGATCTATATATTGCATCATGTGATTTTACATTTTATAAAACTTTTATTAGTTTAATATTTTTTAATAATGATTTTAGTTAGTTGTTTTCACAAAAGCTTTTTGTTTTAGTTCGGTTATTTTGAAGAGTTACTCACCCTTGAGTAGCTCTTATTAAAAATAGAGGTGTGGTCACAAAGCGTGGATGTAGCGCGGTGGGTTAGGCCGGCTATAGAGCATGCTCAGGACGTCCTTCCTGGTGGGTTAGGCCAGGAGTGGGAGTATGATTTCATGCGGTTTTTGTGAGGGGTCCTGTTATGTGACAACGTTTTATGTTGGGTTTGTTGTGGTCTTTCTTATGTCTTGTTGGTTATGTACTTTTTCCAAAAAGCAAATTGTTTGTGGTATGGGTTTGTCTTTCGACTTTTTTGTGTTTTATTATTTCTTTCTAAGACTTTGTAATAGTCTTCAAAAGAATAAATTATCCAGTTTTAAACTGGGTTAATCCGGTTTGGGTACCGTTGGTTTCCTTTTCTAAGTCATGCTGTTATTCTATGATTTGTGGTATTTAGTAAGCTGCGTTGGTTAGTTTTGTTTAGTATATGATTCCTTTCCAACCGGGTTAAAGGAAAATTTGAAACATGTTATTTTATGTTAGAGTTGTTGAGTGTGAAAACTTGAAACTGAAATTCATTATTTTAAACAATTCTTCGTGGGCGAGCTGTGCGAGTGTGGATAGAATTTCTGTGCGAATGAATGAAAATATCAAAAGGTTAGTACTGCATTTGCATTTATTTAATTTACTACATAGAATTTAGAAATTTACTGCTAGTCATGGGGGAATATTAAGATACAAATTTTCATCATAATTAGATTTATTGCTTGTGGGGAAAATTTTAGAAATGAATTTACTGCATTGGTATTAAATTTATAAATTTATAAGTGTAAGAGATTAATGGAATTTTTGAAATCTGTTTGATGAAATTTGCGATTTTTATTTGTCTTTTGTGGTTTTTGTAGGTGATCGTCGGCTCGTGCACAGTTGACACTATAATATTCGAGCATCCCGAGACGTCGCGGATAGTCGAAGTGCCCCTCAATGACGAGACTGGAAGTCAAAGTTTTGACAAATGTCAGAGTTTAAGCTGCAAGCACGGAGGACAATGCATCGATACACCTGGAAAAGGGCATGAGTGTCTTTGCTCTGTTGGGACGGGGGGCAAAAGGTGTGAACAACAAAGACCAGTTGAAATACCTCAATTCTCATCACGTTCTTACTTGAGATTCCCTACTTTACAAATTGACACAAAGAACACATCACTTTCTGTTAATATAAAGCCGTCAAGTGAACATGGGTTGATCATGTATATTGGTCTGATGGATGCTTTCAAAAAAGACGCACAAGAAAACTACCTGGCAGTTTATCTCGAAGAAGGAGTTTTGAAGGCGAAAATAACTCTAAACGGAGTTGTGAAAGCGACTGAAGTAAGCATGCCTGTTTTAGCAGACCAGTGGCATTCGGTCGAAATAAAACTTCGTGCCAATGTCATGACCTTAAAAATTACACCCAATGAAATCGGAGACTTCTTGAAAAACTTCGAAACGAGCAGCAAAATTGCAGTTCCGAACGGGAAATTCAGCTCAGATTTATACATAGGAGGTTTGCCTCTTGAAAAAAGTCGATCTATTCTAAAAATGGTTGGAGTTTCAGATGGTTTTTCGGGCTGCATGACTGGTTTGAGTGTCAACGGTATTGCAATTCTTATGAGTTACCCAGAAAGCAGAAGTCTGATTGATGGATTTGGAATCGACTCCTGCACTTTCAACCCGTGCGACAGAAGGCCTTGCCAAAATGAAGGAACTTGCATAGTTGAAGACTCGTTTAAATATTGGTGCGTTTGCAAGTTTGGATTTGACGGGAACAAATGTGAAATCGAAGATGATCCGTGCAAAGTTAACCCCTGTCAGAACGGAGGCACGTGTCAGAAAATTCAACCAGGATTCAAATGTTTTTGTCCGCTGGGAACCAAAGGCGAAACATGCGAAAAAATCGTAAAGTCGAAACAAAACGAAATTTTCATGCCGTCTCTAAACATGGATTCATACCTGCGAACTTCTAAAGTTCAAATGTCTGACTATTTGGACATTGAAATTTGGTTCTTCACCAGGAAGTTGAAAGGATTGCTTCTTTACGTCGAGGAAAATTCCGATTACGTCATAGTTGAAATTGATAATCATTATCTCACTTTTCGCTGTAGAATCGGACTTGATTCGGTAACTATTGTAGCTAAGGAAAGACTTCACAGTCATAGCTGGTATAAAGTGTCAATTACTGGAAAAAGCGACACTTTTAGAATGAAACTTGGAAAAACAGAACAAAGAGTGTCTCTTTTGTCGAAAATGGAAAAATTTGAGTTTGCCCAGCCTATATTCGTGGGTGGTTTGCCCGTATTCAAAACAAATGACTTCGTTTCTTCGAAAAGCGGATTTCGAGGAATTATCCAGTTCCTGGAAATCAACGGCCAGAAACTAATCGGCAATTTTACCTCTCAAGAGCTGTCAGATAATTTTGACCAGTATTTCAACGTCATTGGTTGGCGAAATCATCAGTGCTACGAATCTACAAAATGCGAAATTTTCGAAACTTGTCTTCCCGATTTGGAGTCGCACCTTTGCAAATGTTCGGATAAAAAATGTGGCAAAAAAGAAATTGACGTCGAAAATACGAACAAAGCCGATCAAATGGACCAAACTGATTTTTCGACAGTTTCTTTTGACGGAAGTCAAAGTTACGTAATTTATAACCAAGTGGTCGAAAGGATTACGTCACAGAGTGGTGAAAGCTACCGTTTCTCTTTCAAAACACAAAGCGCGAACGGTGTGATTTTTTGGGCTAATGAGAACAGTCTCATTGACTATTTTGTGGTCGGTATTTGGAACGGATACCTCTATGCAGCAATAGATCTTGAAGCTGGTAAGACTGAGGTATTTTCAATCAGTCTGTTCAACGATGATAGATGGCATTTTGCGTCTATCGACCGAAATGATAACGAACTGAGACTGAAAGTCGGTAGCGATCCTTTGATCATTGCCCGGCTTAACTCGGGCGCTACTCGGTTCGACACGAATGGGCTGCTATGGATCGGCGGGTTACCCGACTCGGATTCGGCGAGTACTTTGACTCCCGGTTCAAGCAATGGGGGATTCCAGGGATGTTTGAGTTCCATGGTGGTCAATGGCTTCAAAGTTGACCTTTACATGCACTCGCTGACTAATAACAAAATCGACCCTTGCACATGAGCTGACCTCTAAAAAATACTGAAAAGCTGAAGAAACATCTCACAAAAAAAACATTTCACAAGCTGTTCTCAACCATTTTCGCCTCAACTCACAAGAGAAATTATCATTCGTTGATCATGATTAACAAAAATGTTTTTACTTTAATGCGAGCTGATATTTGTATCATTAATGCTGATTTGATTTTTTAGCTGAACTAATAATAGTAGTTTAAGAAAAAAGTAGCCTACGCTCAGAAAAGTTTAGCTAAAATGCATTTGTATTAGCTGATTCACTTGTGAGCAATCAATTAATTTAATGTGATACCTTTTTATTGTAATTTTTAATGAATAGTATACGCTAGTTTGAGGGAGACAAAAAGTTTTTTGTTTTATTGTAGAACCACACAAAGGTTTAATGAGATATACCTTCTGATTGTAACTTAATGCAATATTTAGTAAACATTATACACTAATATGAGGTAGACAAAAAATTCTTTTTTGTCTTCCTCATAAAAAAAAATCCCTCGGGGAGAAAAAAAATCTCTACAAATGTTTCAACCTTAATAAGGTTTCAGGTTTCATAACAATCCTAAACTCAACCGCCAATTTTTTAGTTGAATTATGAAATAAGGCCTTCAAGCTTTCAGACTATTGGAACGAAAGTTTTAAATCATACGATGAGAAGTTGAACTCATATTTTTAGTTTTCAACTAGTTTAATTGCAGTATTCTGAAACAGTAAAATTAAGGCGAAAGAATATAGAAAAAAGATAATTATTGTTTGTTTTTTATTTTTTTTAAAACTTTTGGAGTTCTTTTTTTTTTCAAATACCGACATCGAAGAATTCTGTACAACTAGCAGAGCAGCCGGTTATCCTTGTGTTAGAATCAATTTAATTTTAATGTTAGCATAATTTTAATTTTAATGTTAAAATATGTTAGCAGCCAAGTTTTTCGGACATTGACTTATGTAACTTCAAACCATGTTTTTTGGCATTCAAATTAATATATTTTTTTCAAATTTATTAAGGACTAATCCTGACTAAAAAGGCTTCAAAATGAGTTATAAATTGACATATCAAACAATTGCTTTAATAAAAGATTTTGGGCTTACAAAATCACTCCAATATCTGTTTTTGACGCTTTCAACCTTTAAAATTTTCTGGCCCAATTGGTTAAAAATGGTCTACTTGGTCACAATGATGTGATTCAAATTTCAATTGCGGTACCCGAAAAAAATGAAGAAATACAAAACAGGTTCCTAGAACAAACCTTAAGTTTTGATAGCTTCTCGTAGTATTAAAACCACAAAGATTAGTTTACAAATCTTTCTTCTTGGAATTGTTTTTAAAGGAGCTTTTTTTGGCAGGTCGTTTTATTCGTTCAATTGTTTAGCAAAAAATCTGACCAGATAATCGCAATCTCCTAAAACTGAACAATAGTTTTTTTTGTCTCAGACTATCCGACCCATTACTTTTGATTGTTTTAATTTTCTCAACTTGCTCTTAAGGTATATACTAGTTCCTTTTCCTGAAGGATAAAAAGCTTAAAACTCTAATCTTGGATTATCCTTAGGTTAGAATTGGGCTTAGGAAATCGATTTCTGATTTCAAATGAAATGCTCCTCAATTTTTCAAAACTATATAAGTCATTAGAGTTATAAGGTAAAAACTACAATTTTTTAAATACGAGAATCGACAGTTCCGAGTAATGAATAAATAATGCTTTTTTATAAATTGACTTGGCAGCTCCGATCACTTGTGTCTTTACTCAGAGACTAGGAATTCAATTTCTGATAGCTCTTAGCCATAATTTTATTTCTTTGAAAACAGAAGGGATAATTTATACGCAAGTTTAAAATAGCTATTTCATGCGCACTGCAATTAAGGCAACGCCACTCCAGCTGACCAATGATGTCTCCCGTTTTTCTTAAGTAATTTTTTTAAACTTAATTTAGAGACACTCTATGTTCGAGTCCAGATGTTAGGAGGCCTGTCAAACCTAATTGAATTTGCCTTCCATTAGCAAAACTATCATACAATTGAGTTAGGACCGAGTTGGTTAACTCATAGAGTAATTTCGGATAGGGTACACCGTCTGCTCGTCACGCTATCTTATTTTCGGCCGGATAGATTCGTGCAACTTCTTAGTCTAATACCGATCCTAATCTTACTCTTATACTATCTAGTCTCAGGTTGTTTAACTAGTCTCTGCTAGGCTCAATAGATCTAGGGTATACTGGTTTATTGCGGCTGCTGAAGTGCTCGGGAGAGTCCAACTAATTTCTAAGTTAAATTCAAATCTCTCTGGTGCTGAAATTACAAGTAACTTCAGCACTTACAAATAAGTGGGTTGTTAGTTAGATGGATCATGATTGGTTAATATTAAATACTTTACATTGGTAAAACATTTAATTTATCCAATCATAATATGTAGTTTAGATCAGGTTCCACCCATCCGGGTTTTACAGAGTTTTTTAGAATAGTTCTTCTGCAATTCGAAGGATGGATGATGGACGTTTGTTTTTGGCGAACATCATAATTTTCTTCCGTTTCCTCTTTTGTTAGGGAAGTTCCAGGAAGCTGGAGTTTGAGACATAAGACGTTGTGTTCTTCTTGTGACAACGACTAAGTCTTCGCAACAAACTCAAATCTGATTTCAGAATGGTTGGCTATGTCAGGTTTTTCTGTTCTTCGTGGAGAACTTCTTTTGTGTCTGATCTAGCTTGGGAATGGCGTGGAGATTGTGCGTGGAGGGGATGCCTGGTTACTCGGATCTGTACGTATACTTGAACATCGAGGTGGTCATTGGTCTAGTTCAATGAAGTCCTTTTCTGCGAGGTCAAGTCGTACTCTAAATCCTTTGAGTTGTGATTGTGAGCGGCATATCGATTGTAGTTGGTCATTCTCTCTCGAGTGTAGTGGGGTCGTCTTGTCTTTTGATGTTCGTCCTTGGTGTTGTATTCTGATCTATATATTGCATCATGTGATTTTACATTTTATAAAACTTTTATTAGTTTAATATTTTTTAATAATGATTTTAGTTAGTTGTTTTCACAAAAGCTTTTTGTTTTAGTTCGGTTATTTTGAAGAGTTACTCACCCTTGAGTAGCTCTTATTAAAAATAGAGGTGTGGTCACAAAGCGTGGATGTAGCGCGGTGGGTTAGGCCGGCTATAGAGCATGCTCAGGACGTCCTTCCTGGTGGGTTAGGCCAGGAGTGGGAGTATGATTTCATGCGGTTTTTGTGAGGGGTCCTGTTATGTGACAACGTTTTATGTTGGGTTTGTTGTGGTCTTTCTTATGTCTTGTTGGTTATGTACTTTTTCCAAAAAGCAAATTGTTTGTGGTATGGGTTTGTCTTTCGACTTTTTTGTGTTTTATTATTTCTTTCTAAGACTTTGTAATAGTCTTCAAAAGAATAAATTATCCAGTTTTAAACTGGGTTAATCCGGTTTGGGTACCGTTGGTTTCCTTTTCTAAGTCATGCTGTTATTCTATGATTTGTGGTATTTAGTAAGCTGCGTTGGTTAGTTTTGTTTAGTATATGATTCCTTTCCAACCGGGTTAAAGGAAAATTTGAAACATGTTATTTTATGTTAGAGTTGTTGAGTGTGAAAACTTGAAACTGAAATTCATTATTTTAAACAATTCTTCGTGGGCGAGCTGTGCGGGTGTGGATAGAATTTCTGTGCGAATGAATGAAAATATCAAAAGGTTAGTACTGCATTTGCATTTATTTAATTTACTACATAGAATTTAGAAATTTACTGCTAGTCATGGGGGAATATTAAGATACAAATTTTCATCATAATTAGATTTATTGCTTGTGGGGAAAATTTTAGAAATGAATTTACTGCATTGGTATTAAATTTATAAATTTATAAGTGTAAGAGATTAATGGAATTTTTGAAATCTGTTTGATGAAATTTGCGATTTTTATTGGTCTTTTGTGGTTTTTGTAGGTGATCGTCGGATGAAGGCTGAAAATCTAAAGAAAACATGGATAAAGTATGGTGAGTTTTTTAATACTGTAATTAGTTAGTAATATTTACTTAATTCATACTTACCTGTTAGTCGTCGGGGAAAAAACCGTGGGGGAAGATGTCGTGAATTAGTTCTGAAGTTGTTAGTAGTTTAGCTAGAATGCGGATGATATTTTTAGTCTGAAGCAGTGGCCAAAGCAATTGAAGTGCCTTAATAGTGGTTAGTTCTTCAGTGCCTACTGCAAACTCATAAGGTGTGTTTTGGATTAAGTTATATAATTTGTGATTAAATTTAGTGTTGTGGATGAATTCTAAAATTGGGATTTCTATAGGTTGTACAAACTCGTGCGTGATAAGGAAGGGTCGGGATTCTTCGGCGTTGAAGGTCTTGGTGATGGGACAGAAGATGTACATTTGGGTTATGGGATCATAATTGCGAAGAATACCATGAAGGTTAGTATCTTTAATGCAATATGTGAAATTTAGGAAAAACGGTGAAGTGTATTTGGAATTAATGAATTGAAAACGATGGTGTGGTTGTCTAGAGGGTGTGTGTAGGTCAAAGTGATTTTGGATGAAGCGATAATAACTATATGTGTGGGTTTGTTTAGTGCGCAACATAATATCGTGTGAGCAGTGTAAATCTCTTTCGTGTGGTGCAAGGAAATGAAAGGTTAGTGAAAATATTTGGAAGCGTTCTTTAAAACTTTCGTATGCTTGTGTGTCTGTTAGTGCTTCTGAAATAATGTGATCAAACTTTCGGTCGAAGATGTTTAGTGTAAATATATATGGTGTCTTGATGAAAAATTTCTCGGTAATTTGTGGATTAGCGAAGCGATCGTCGTCTAAGAATTGATCTTGGTTAGCTCTGATGATGTTGTGATCATAGTATTCGAGTGTATATTCGTTAGCTCTAGGTGCAGTGTGTGTTTTTAGTGATTTTTTATATCCAACGTAAGTAAATTGTCTAGGTGTTAGTGGTGTAGTGAGTCGATATAGCATGTCCGTATTTCGCTCTATATCGATGTGAGTGTTAGATAAAGGTAAGCAAAGAGGGTTAGTAAAATGATAATATGAGGTCCAAGAGAGAGTGGGCATTAAAACGTATTCATCTACAAAGTTGCGTGTTTCGTTAGTGTCGTGGGGGGTGTTTAAGGTGTATTGTGGAAATGAGGGTAAGGTGATAGCTAAAAATTCTTTTGTGTTAGTATGCTTGGGGTGGTTGATGTATTCACGGGCTGTTCCTGGTTTTGCTGGGAAAGGATGGTTGGGGAACTTTCTTTTAAAAGTGCGGTAAGCTCTATTAGTGTTGAGTGAAGATTCAGTTGATGTGGATGATGGTGCTAATGATTCAGTATAATTTGAAGAGGGTGTAGGGGTAGGGGGGTTGGATGAATTTATAGTGGAG